TTCCATAAATTTTTATAGTTATAATATATATATATGATAAAAAAATGATTATATTCTTTAAATATAGATATTTTTATATTTTTACTAAAATTTTATATTAAATATATACTAATGTATATTAATTGTATAATATTTATTATTATTAATTATTATTTATTAAATATTCATATATATATATGTGTCTGTATACATAATATTTATTCTAAAATTAATATATATATATTTTATAACATATTATCTAAAAAAATAATTTATTAACAAAATAAAATTAATGTTATCTTAGGCACCTAGATGGGCATGTTTTTTATGTGCACTTGGTTTGTTCATTTATCAAAGTTTGGATGCCATAGATGGCAAACAAGCCAGAAGAACAGGAACTTCAACACCATTAGGTGAACTATTTGATCATGGATGTGATTCCATATCAACTGGTATGTTAAATTAATAACTTTTTGAAATTTTAATTTTTGAATTTTTGAAAATTCATATTAAAAATATAATAAAAGATATATGTTGTATATTTTTTTTATTAAATAATATTTAAACAAAATATATTTTATAATTTACATTATACTATTTTAATTTTAAATTTCTTCTATCTAATCTTAAATTTATTATATTATAAATAAAAAAATAATATTTTTATTTTTTTTTAGTTTTTATTGCTTTATCAGCATGTATAGCAGTGCAATTAGGATATTATCCAACATGGATGTTTTTTCAATGCTTTTGTGCTATGACACTTTTTTATTGTGCTCATTGGCAAACATATGTTTCAGGTAAAAAATTTTTTTTTATTCATAGATATTAATAATTTTCAAAATTGTTGTTTATATTATAATTAAATATTTTTAACTAGGTTCTTTAAGATTTGGCAAAATAGATGTTACAGAAGCACAATTTACTATTATAATAATTCATCTCATTTCTGCAATTTTTGGACCCAAAATATGGATGATGGAGGTTGTATCTATTTTCATAATATTCTTAATTTTATTTTAAATTATTATATGTCAATCAATAAGATATATCAAATATATATAACTTTAATAATATATTGTACTTGAAGAATGGCTAATTTATTTATTATTGAAATTAATAATAATTTATTAATGAAATTAATAATATTGAAACATACAATTTTGCAAATCTTAATTAAATAATTAATTATCATAAAATATTTGTTTTGTTTTATTTTTATTTTTATTTTCAGTTTTTTTTTAATATTAAATTTAAAATTTTAAAGAAATATGATTTTTTTTAATATTAAATTTTAATATTAAATCTAATAATATTAATTTACTTTTAGTAAAAAAATTTAGTAATAGAGTTTGTAAATATTCAGTATTATAAAATATTATGAATTTTTGTAAAGTATTAAGAACATAAATTTAATTTTTTATATTTATTTATATCATAATTTTCCATTTGAACCTTCATCAAATATTATCCAATTTTTGTTATCTATATTATAATTTTGTATGTATGTTATATTATTTGTTTATGTTTCATCTATTCCATCAATTTATAAATTAAATATAAATAATATAGGAATAAATTATTGTAATTAAAATGTTAGCTAATTACTCTTTAATTTAACTATTGGTTATATGAATAAAAATTAAATTTTTGATAAATTCATTATTTTTTATCTCAAGACTCATGTTTATAAAAAATTTGAAAGTATTTCTGCATGAGTCTAACGAGATTATTTCTTACAGATACCATACATAGATGGTTTTATGTTTAAGTATTTAATAGGAGTTATGACAGTAATTTGTGCAGTGGCAAACTTATATTCCATCTTTTCGGTGATTTTCACCGGAGGAGTGGGCAAGAATGGTTCAACTGTGGCTGTAAGTTAGTCAATTAGACTTTTGTTTTTAGAAATATGGAAATGGGACCAGCATGGCATGAGGAGCAGTGCTGAAATTACCTTTTTTGCTATGAAACTTATTGTAACATGCATTTTATTTCTAAATTTCTTACTCATTACTCACTTATTCCCCTTCATTTATTCCATTTCTTTTTTATTTTTCTGCATCATATCATTATTCATCATAAATACATTATAATTTGTATTTGTACTTACAGTTTGTTGTATTCTCATAAAAAAATATATACAGTAAACCAAAATTTGTAATATAAGAGAAATCAGAGAAATTCTATGGCGCAAAATAAATAAAAAATTAAAAATAACAAAATTGCAATCAAGACAAAATGATTTCTTCATCATAATTTTGTTATTTTTGATTTTCGTTTTATTTTGAATTATATAATTTTTTTAATTTCAAATGTTTCTCAAATTATGGTTTATAGTATAATAAAAAATATTATTAGAATATATATTATATTAAAAATTATATCTTAAGAATTGTTTTGTTATATTTATAAAAAATATATAATTTCTATTTATAAAAAATAATTTTTATTTAATTTAACTTATATTTAATATTTAATTGTGCTTTTGAAACAATTTCTATCAAAAAAATATTAAATAATGTGATGTAAATATATATATTTATTATCATAACATAATATTTTAATAATATCTTAATATCTTTTAAAATGAAATAAAACTAATATTAAAAAATTTGCATTAGCTTCAAACAGTAAGCAAATATCTTCATATAAAAATTACACTCATAAAATTTATCATAATCATAATCCATTGATTCAAAATACAGTTTTTCATCTTAATCACAAATTATATTATTATAATATAAATATTTATATTATGTGAATGTAGAAACTTGAGAATGAAAAAATGAATTTGTTATTTATATTTTCTGGCTCCCTCGTGCCTAATAATTTAATTTATTATTCTACTATTCTGTATTATATATACTGAGCCACTAATGGAACTATTTTATATTGAAAAATTACGAGTAATTTAAAAAATATAAAATATAAAATAAATATAGGTTAAATTTTAATTGCATTTCTACAATATTTATAACGAGCGAGATTTTATACATTTGTTTAGATACCAGTGCTTGGTGTAGGCACAATCAGTAACTACGTAGCAGTGTTATTTTATGCAGGCTACATTCATGTATTCCTTGAATTCTGTAAAGTCTTTGAATCTGGTGGGATTGGAAAGAATGGTTCCACGATTGCAGTAAGTTTTAAAAATTCAAACTCGTCAGTTATATATATATATATACATATAAATTTTTATATATATCTACATCACTATAGTGGTCTTTCTTCTTTTATTTTGCTTGCCTATCTAG